ATACGATCCGTCCTGATGGGCGATTGCCAAATGTTGGAGACGTATCATTTTCGGCTCGTTCAAAGTATATACACACAGAACTCAAACATCTGGCAATAGCAATAAGAAGCAACTTGGAAGCCCTTCAATTCAGACTTTTCAACTCCGAACGTTTTTTGATTTAGCTCCATGCTTCATGTTCGGTGTCTTTCTTTCGATGCCCTTCACACTGCCGGTTTTTTTCTCCTCCTTCCTTGCAAGACCAACAAGCTGGAAATGAATCCGGCAGCTCTAGTGCGCGCTGTCGACCCTCTTTGAGAGTCGCAGCTGCTCGAGTTCTTCTTGGATGGCGCGGCGCTCGATCTCGCCTCCGGTGTCCAAGACAGCCTGTCGCCAAGGTGGATGCAGGGTGGTTGGACATGCAAGATGCCGCTGGCACCTGAACCAAGAGGGTCGCATCTAAATTCACCTAAAGGCAAGCCCTGAGGAAAGCCCATCAAGGTTTGGAAGCTAAACAAACTTGCAAGCTTGCAAGTCGGCTTTCGACTTCCGCAGGCTTCATGTTCGACCGCGTTTGCGCGTGTTCGTGCGCGTCAGCGGGCATGCGCCTGTGTGTTGGTGCGTCTTCCCTTGCGATATGCATTTTACATATATATATCTCTCTATTTATTTATTTTTTTTATATACGTCTTGGTACGTCTTTGCTTACTATCTGCGGTTGCTATGTTAGTGCGTCTTTGCTTCGTTACTTGCATTTGAACTGTCGGTTATGTCTTGCTTGTTGGCGGAAGTATGTTCTTGTTGGTAAAGCTTTGCTTGCTACACGGTTGTTTTGCTTGTTGACGCAGCTCGCTGTGCGGCTGTTTTGCTCCTTGGTGCATCTTCGCATACTGTATACACTATTTGCGGTTGTTTTGCTTATTGGTGCGTCTTCGCTTACTATGCATGCTTGTTTTGCTTGTTGGCGCGTCTTCCCGACACCGCTTACGAATTGTGGTTCTGCAACCTAGTTGTTTTCAAAATATTTGGTTGTTCCTAAGTTCGGACAGTTCCACCCACTACATCCCCATACGCTCATGCTAAGAACCCGACAGAAAAGTTGGCAGTGTCAACGTGCTCTCATACAGACCGCGATCTGGACCTCAAGAGCTGTTCGAAACACCGATTGGCAGAAGGAGGATGTGCGAACGGCATATTTTGAGCAGCATGCGCTCACGGAGGCCCGGGCCCGTGGAGCTTTACACGCGTTTGAAATAAACAACATATATGAGCACGCGCCCATACGGACTCGATCTGTAACCCAAGATCTCTGCGTAACCCTCACCCCCAAATATACTCCACAATGTGCATGTTGAGCAACACACGCTCATGAAAACCGCGATCCAGGTGCGCGGAGCTCTCCAAACACGTGCTCGAGATAAGGTTGCGTACCGACGTGTTCTCGTACAGACCGATCTACATCAAGTATACCCGAAAGGTTTCATGGAATCAATGGTGAGTCCCCCCTTTTATTGACAAAGATCAATAGTGATGCCCCCCCACCTGCAGGGGGTTGGTCAAAATCTCCTGCATGTAATGTTTACTTTTCGTTGCTTCTTTCCTTCCTTCCTGCTTTCCTTCCATTCTTCATTTCGTTTTTGTTCCCTCCGTGACAACTTTTTCATGTGAAAGTAAGGCTTCGCCACAAAATGTAGGGGAAAACCAGGCTTCTAGTGAAACATGGAAAGAAAGGCAAAGACAAACTACAGCACAAAAGGCCCTCCCAGCAAAAGCCTGAGAAAAGCTGTGTCAGACACTTGCCTTTATGACCCATTTCTTCTTCTTGAGCCGCGCCACTTCCTGGCAGGAACGCGCGGCCTAACCCCCAAGCTATGACAGTATGGGACAAGCTCTTCTGCAAACAGGCAAGCAGCATTTCTCAGGGTCACAGCTTCCAGGACCAGCTGGGAGTGGAACTGCTCCTTAGGTATCGATGTGCTATGAGGTGCTCAGGATTAGGAAACGGAACAGGGTCTCCGGCAATCCGCTTGCCCACGCCCGAGTCCTGGTTCGCATACAATTGCGGTCAGTTTGGATAACCCAATGGATGACTGGCACTCCAAAAGCTGCCTGCTTGGGCGTCTCTGCCTCTTCTGACCCGCCGTCTGCAGGCTTTTCCTCGAGCTCCAGTGCCTGGTAGAACACCTGGCACAGATTGGCAAAGCACTGTCTTCTGACGGGGAAATGCAGACATGACGATGCAAGAGCCATGGCCCGACCGAACTTTTCACAAGCACGTGCTTCTTTGTAGTGTGCATGGCCAAAAGTGTCAAGGCTCCGGGGCAGTGCGTTGGCTGCAGAAGCCGACGAGGCCTCAAGGCGCTGCTGCAGCTGGGCATTTTCGCTGGCCAGCCGCTTCAGCTGCTCGGACATGTCCCCCGAATCTCTCTCAGAAGTATCCTGGCATTGCATGGGTCCAGGTCAAACCCTGGGTTTGACATTGAATCAAAAGGTGACATTGAGCTACTTTGGAGTTCATGCAGCACCAAAAGATTGCGATACTGCAGGAAACCTGCTACAAGCAAAATGCTATGCGGTTTTGTATGTCTGTGAATTCTGTCTTTGCCTTAGTCAGCCTTAGTTGACACAGAAAGACAGATCAACCGCACAGAGATGTGCGGAGCCGGGGGTACCTGAGGATGTTCCTGAGGATCTTCCTGAGGCTGCTCCTGAGGATCCTGAGGAAGTGCGAGGAATTCCTGGAGCTTCTGCTCCGCAGCCAGGAGCTCCTGGATGCGCTGCTTCGGCATCTCCTTTAGAAGGAACGGCGGCCAAAGGTCTGCGTTTGCGAAACGGATCGATATGCAAAGGTGAGCAGCAGAGTTGCTCCTCGAAGCCTTCGCTTGGTTTCTCAAAGTTGCCTTCCTCGTTGGCTGCTCCTGTCCGGCAGGCATTTCAGACTTCGGGGATGTTAGTCACATGTAGTCACCCTTGCCTCAGTTGGCCAGATTTGTAGGGCTTGAGCCCTCCAGGATTTCTTTACAAGCTCTGTGGTAAGAGCTTCGGGTGTCGTTTGGGGTACCATCCAAGGATTTGTTTCAACTGCTCTCCAAGTGCTATTGCGTGGACGTGGGATCAGGGCGCGGGGGGCGATAGTGGAGGTCTAGAGGCTAAGCATCGCAGGTTTTGGGATTGTCGTATGCGCTTCTGGCCTATGATGCTCCAAATTCTCCAAGATGCCCTGGGCTGCCCTAGGCCACTACATTCACTACACCCGAAACTCCATGAAGGGGCAACTAAGCTCGGGATCGCACAAAGGTCCTAAAGCCTTCACGAAGCCCTCGGCTAGGAAGCCCGAAATCCACAAAGTTTCTGCAACTCCAGACTTCTCAAGACCCCAAACACTCCCCAAAGCTCTCTCAAAGCAGACCCATCCCCTAAAGTTCAAGTTTTATGATGTTGATGTGAAGCTCTGGCATGTGGGGGGGGGGGGGGGGTGCTGGCAGAACTAGGAAAGTGCATCATGCAGAATTCGCCCATCCAGCTAAAAATGCTTCCTGCTATACCATAAGGCGACAGGAGCTCTAGGTTTCACACCAATCGTCCTTCTGAGCCACGGCTTCTTCTAGCCACCTGGCATCACATCCCCTTGCTCTCGAATTCGTGGAGGACTTGTCCACAAATGTCGGGCCATGCGGCAACAGTTCCGGGCACCACATGTGAAAGGACAGCAGGCAAAAGGCCTGCAGGACCTAGACACATATCGGAAAACTGCGTGTCCAACACCACCATATAAGCAATCCAGACAGATCCCGAAGCGCCAAGACGACGGAAAGCCGAGGTGGTCAGAGTAAAGGCCCTTGCCTCCTCCGACCCGGACTCAGAATCTTTGCCATCTACCGCATTGACCTCGCAACGAACGAGAATCGAAATACATGCTTTCGCAGAATAAGTGACCCAACAGTCAAGAGCAACGTTGCCGTTCACAATTGTCCATTGAGCTCATGCCCGTTGCAGCCTGCATCTGCGATCGGAACTTGCGAGGCAATGGTGGCATCGGAGCCGCGTCTCCCGAAGCAAAAGCACGAAAAGCACCCCTGCAGTCCCCGCATCGGCATGTCCCGCTTTGCTGATAGCAAAAGGACACGCATGGAGAGATTCTACACAGACATGAGCGAGGGCGTGTCAATGCCATGAGCCACCTCTTAGAGCTTCTGGTGCCACGGGGGGCAACGAGGCAGGCCTCGCATCATCTGGCACTGCGCTGGAACTGGTGCATGCAATTTCCCTGGACTGCTGTGTCTGCGTGGCCTCTGCTTGCTGCGAAATTGGTCCTTCCCCTTGCTCTTCTGGCAGGGTGCAGGGCCGTCATACCCACGGATCATCGCCTCAGCATGCACTGACAAACCCGCACCCTTCCTGAATGAAAGATGTGTGAGTGATTGTTGGTGTCCCTGAGGACATCGCATCAACTGCCGCGAAGAGCTCCCCACCCTCTGTCCTCAGGGCTTCTAGCACAACGCAACTCAGAGTGTGAGTTGCTGGATGCCGCGGGCATTCCAACATGCATGACAAAAACAGGCCTCCTCGCGAAGAACGGCCAGTCAGAGCTCCTCGGTGACTTCTGAACTGCGCCTGCAAGTTTACAAGCTGTTTCTGAAAATGCAAAGACGAAAAATTTCGGCGAGCGCGGCATGGCATCCCACCTGCCTTGAACAAAGCGGTTAAGAGTTTTGGCAGGACCGTAGCGGTCTGCAAGGCGACGGTGCGAAGGAACAGGTGCAGCTGGAGGGGCGGCTTGAAAGGAAGACGTTCCCGAAGTAGCATCTGCTTCCCGGCAGGGCTCCGCGTCTCCGACGCTCCAGCTTGTGGACGTGGTGGTGGTGGATGTTGTTTTCTCGACCCTCTCGACCCTGTCAGTTTTGCTATCCATCCGCTTGGGAACTTCCTTTGGAGGGTTTGGACCAAGACTCGTTGGGCGCCTCGGCGTTTTAGCAGGCCTGGGCTTGACAGCCTTGGCCTTAGCACCACTCGCAGCAGTCGCTGCTGCGAGCTCCTCCTGGAGCAGATCCTCTGGCAGCTCTTGGAGTCCCATCGCTCGGAGCAAGTACCGGTGTGCTGCTCCGAGCTTGGCTTGCAGCTGCTGGATGGCGCGATCCTTTGGGTCAATATTGACCTGAGGCTGGTTCTTGATGCTCGCAGCTTGCGACGCGTACTGCAGAGTGCTCAGGTTTTCGTCATCATGCCTGTCAGTCGCTGCCAGACATGCAAACATAATCAAATAGCTACTTCCACCCAAGCTGTTCTGTAGCAGCGATGTCAGCTTGGATTCTCGATAGGGCACGTGGCCGCTGGCGTCGTTTCCCTTGCTGTCCTTCTTGCTGAGTGCTGTGATCACTCGTCGCAGAACGAATAGTGATTGATTGACGTTGACCGCCTCCTGGAAGCGCGTGCTGCTCTTGCCGCTCGTGCTGGCGACCGTGCTCACTGTGCGCTCAGAGCCAGCCAGGTCAACCAAAGATAGCTGCGAAACTACCTGCATGAAATATTGGATTTATTGAACACCCTAAGGGGCACCCTCAACAGCACATCGCAGTCCCCTTCAAGGCTACAATTCCACAGGACAAACCACGTCATCCCCTTTTGGACACGAAGCCTCCCGAAATGGCTCAGGGGTGCCATCATCCCCGGGCATGCCCTCCCTCCTGAGCAACGTCAAGACCAACACAGTGTGCGATCTGGATGATGCGACGTTCATGGCAGTAGATGCCACATGCTTGTTGGCGATGCCAGCCTGGTAGTATTGAAGCGCCTCGTCAGCGGAGTTGCACTCGTTCTGAAACAAGTTTTCCACAAAAAAATGCCGCTTCAGCGCATCCCAGCGCATTCGAAGTCCAGAAAAATCCTCGCCACGTCCGCCGGCTTCCCGCTGTGAGACGCTCAGGGATGGGTTCAACAAGTCAAAGACCTTCTCATTGTAAATCTGAAGAAAGGATACACGAACCACACAAGCGTTTGCTCCAAGGGCTTCCTTTGCCCGAATGGCTTCGACCCGGTCGAACAATGCCATCACAGCCCGCGGCACCATGCCTAGCTGCTCTGGTGGCGTTGACCTGGCCTGACAGAGAAGTGAGGGCCCTTCGTAGAGCAGTCCCAGTAGAATCTCGAGATTCTGGATTTCCCTCAGACTTGCTGCCGCGTTTGGATATTTACTCCTTTCGGGTTGGCTTGTGGCTCCTGTTAGCCCCCCTTTTTCGTACCCAAAGATCGGTTCTTGTGGCTCTTTTCTTCCGCGATTTCGACTTGCACCTCCGCTCATTCCAAGGCAAGGCTGTTGAGGTTGCAAAGTCCACAGGTTTCGTCTTCTTCTCATACCGAATTTCTAAAGCGTTCTCAGCCAAACCTAAACCTGAAACCATTAAACCCTTCGCCTTCGAAACAACACATGCAAACACAAAATGACAAACTTGACCGTTGCACGAACCCTGCACGCTTTAATTAATATGCATGTACAAGACTTGGCACAAGCCCAATCCCAAGTACATGTTGTAACTAGTTCAAATAATCTGTATACGACAATCATAACAACCATGCGCAGACCTTGCGCCGAGCCTTGACACGTGGGCGTGCAGCGGAGATCGAAGGGGCAGCGCTGCCATTGTGGTGTTCGTACAGGTAGCCCTCCATGGTATGAGTTTTCCCAGTGCCTGTCTGGCCGTAAGCAAAAACAGTGGCATGAAAGCCCAGCGCAACTTTGTTGACGACGGCCTCAATGCCTGACATGTCCCATGCTTCCTGCTGCGTGCAATCAGGGCTGATGACTGCGTTGAAGCGAAAGTGACGGGTCCGGCCATCCTCCTTCAGAGAGATGCTGCTGTCATTGCCTTCCTTGTCGCCCTGAATGAGATTCATCGCGCTGGGACCATAACCTTCAGATCTCTCCCATGGCAGGAGGGGCCTCAGGCGCACGCAAACCTGCACTGCTGGCACGGGCTGGTCAAGAGATTCCAGCCTGGCAAGGCTGTCTGCCCTCGTTGCCGGCGGGTCGGACTCGCTATTCCTTCCTTCTGCTCCTTCTGCTCCTTCTGCTCCTTCTGCCCCTACCTCTACTAAGCAGACGTCTTCGACGTCTGCATCTTTGGACGTAGGTTGCGCCATGTCTGCGGCACTGTCGCCTTCCATGTATTTGGAGACGAGGTTGAGATCCTCTGCAGGGGGATGATGGTGGCTCAAGCATGGCCTCAGTCATGAAGAGTTGTGGTTCACACAGTGTTCAGACTTCCCTTCTACATGTCCAGCATAAGATAGAGCGCTTAAAATGAAGTTGAACAACAAAAGCAGCTCGCTGCAATTGGGAAGCAAGCTTTGGGCAGTTGCTGATGGGCTCGGGTGTCTGGGGCTGTTGATGCCGGCAGTGCTGGCTTCTTGCCATAAAGGCGCGGTCTTCGCGCCCTGTCCAGCACTACACAGAAGACATTCGCTAGTTGCACCACGGACTCAAAACAACAGCCACCACAACCACAATTTCAATGCTGCGACGACTACTAACTACTACACTCTACTAACTACTACCTACTAACTACTACCTACTACCTACTACCTACTACCTACTACCTACTACGTACTACGTACTACCTACTACCCATTGCCCACTGCCCACTACCACTGCCACTGCCACTGCCACTGCCACTGCCACTGCCACTACCACCACCACCACTGCTACTACCACTACCACTACCACTACAGCGACGACTTCTACTACAACTGCGACTACGACGACTCCGCGACCTGCTCGCACCCAGGGTCTTGTGGAGAATCCTCAGGGGTCCCAGTGACCATGCCAGATATCCCAATGCCGTAGCTCGCAGAGTACTTCCAAAACGTCAAATCCTAGGAGCTCGTCAAACGTTGGTTACTTGGGGGTATGCGAGTCTTTCACTTTACAAGGCATCCTGGTATTGAGCACTGTAAACCTACAGGGAGTAAACGTTGTAAGGTTTCAGGCCCGAAGCTGGTTGCTCCCTGCACGCTGCCCGGCCTCCGGCATTGAATGGGGCTGGAAGGAAGCCAGGGAAGGCTTCCGCCCCTTTTGAACAAAAAGGTTACGGGCACAAGGCACTCGAGGCTGTGGACTTCGCAGCAGACTCGACAGAAGGGGCCTGCGATTTACGTGCCTTTTTGTCTCCATCCATCAGCGTCTTGATATGCAGCAAGGGTTGCCAATACCATTGAATGGCTACTTGCCAGGGCCCTATCATCTTAACCAATCCTGAGTGCCAGCACATATCAGTAAGTATAACCGAAACTCATTCGGCTACAGCAGGTGGAAATGTGTTGCAACACACGAGTTGCAAAATATCAGGCGATTTCAATCCTACATGGAATTCTGCAGCATTTTGAGGTATGATGGGCGGTCGAATGCAAGATACTGCCAGAAAACGATATACAAACTTTAAATAATCTGCAAGAAGCAGTTGGCTTAATTATGTGACGAGGCGGAGGTTTAAATTTTGCAGGTGCGCCTGCGGGCAGGCTGCCGTTGTGCAGGCCCAAGGCTTCACTCAAGTCTTGAGCAGCACCTTCTGAGCATGCTATGCTAACAAGCCTCACTGCCCATGTGTCAGGGTGCGAGTCTCCTGGCAGTTCTGCACCATCAAGCTATCCCTTGCATGCCGCCCTCCCCTCCCACCCCAACACACATAAAACACATACTTTTCTGGCTTTAAAGCAGTCGCAGCAAAAAGTCGGGTTCGGCACGAGCCTGTCTAGATGAAGCCTGAATGCTTCCTGTACCTCAGTCGATGACCTCTTCCTCTTCCTCCTTCTTCTGCTCTGCTTTCGGCTTCTCGAACATGTTGCGTCGCATCTCCACCAGAGACTTCTTGGCAGGCTTGTCTTCTGAGCCCTCCGCTTCTGGGCCCTTGGTGGGCGTGTACCCGCCCGACGGCGCAGGGCTAGAGCTGGGCGACGGCGCTGCATAACCACCTGACGAGGAGGCCGCAGCTGTGGGCGCAGGCGCAGTGGATGATGCGGCCGGGGTCGAGTCCGCGCTGGCGCCGACGGGCGCAACTGCAGGGGTGGCAGCTGTGGAAGGCGCTGAGCCGGAGGTTGGGGCCGCGGCAGGCTGTTCGGGCTTGTCATTGGCCCAGAAGTCCTCAAGCAAGGGCGCTGCCACACCCTTTGCTCCACTCACCACAGTCGTGGCTGTGCTGCCGACAAGGTCAACAGCATCCAAGGCGGCATCTTTGAAAGTAGCTACGGCCCCCTTCTCACGGAAATCCTGCACGGTGCTGTGGATCTCGCTCTTCACACCATCAACCAACTGCCTAACGCTGCCTCTTTGCTGCGCTGGTTGATCACCAGCCTGACCAGCCTGTTCTGGCTTAGGTTCCACATCTATTAAAGAGATGGCTCCATCCACTGCCTTCCCGGCTGTGCTGCCAACAAGATCCACGGCCTTTCCAGCAGTACTCCCGACAATGTCGACCGCATCGCGTGCCGCATCCTTGAGCGCACCTACAGCGCCCTTTTCTCTGAAATCCTGGACTGTGTGGGTGAACTCCTGCCGAATGCTGGCTAACAGCCCTGCATCTGCTGAATCAGCAGCTCCTTCGGCTCCTTCGGCTGCCTCACTGGTTGGGTGCACTGGGACCAGCACGGTCTCATCGATTCCATCCACCTTCACCTGAGCGCGAGGGGGCTGTGACACGCCATCCACCTGCAAGACCGTGGCCTGCATCACGCGACCATCGCTGAATTGCAAAGGTGCCGTGGCCCCGCGTGGAGGCACTCCATCGTAGCGAAGCACAGCCGTGGCGTTGCCATCCCCATCCACAAGAGATCTCACGTTGCCCACGAGCCAAGAGCCAGCATCTGTGGCCATGTCTCGGGCATCCAGAGCTGCATCCCGCAGGGCACCAATGGCACCCTTCTGACGGAACTCGTCCACGGTTCCCATGACTTCAGACCGAAGCGTGTTCCAAAGACCAGCCATTGCAAGGATGGCAAGGATGGCAAGGATGGCAAGGGAAGCCCCCACAACAGCTTTATCGCTTTGCAGAGAGGAAGGCCAATAAGGACCAATACAAAAATGCTTCGAAGCTTGGCCCGGATGGCACTCAACCAATCATTACTGAATCATCACACGCATTACTCTTCAGCATGATCAGTATTCTCTGTAGGCTCCTCAATTCCATTGTTACTCCTTGCCGTTCCATTCTGCATGGTGCGTCACTTGCCTTCTGCACCCTCACCCGTCCTCGTAGAAGTAAACATGCAGCAGCCTCAAGCTGCCAGTTCAGACCAAGGGTAAAACCTGACGGCCAGTGGCGAGTCTGGGAAGCATGCGATCTTACGCCATTCCCACACATGTCCATTCCCTCTTTATGATAAACACTGTTCAATGCTGCGCACGATGTTACCGAAGTCTCTGTGTCCTGGCTGACGAAAGTTCTCGCGATTATAGCGGCACTGTCACTCTGTGTGTACAGTGCAAAGTTCGAGTCGCTTGGTTCACAGCCAGCAATGTATGAGTCCCACCTAGGACTAGATTTGACACACACGACAGCTGGCCTCGAGGTTGGCGGCTGTCCTGGACTGCTCACGCTGTGAAGGAGGAAAGGTGTACGGGCACTGTCACCTGCACAACCCCACCACAGCAAAATCAACTAGACACACCAGCCAAAGCAAAAGGTGGGTTGCTCAAGCGGCATCGCATCACGCTGCGTAACTGCCGTTAAACCGTTAAGAATCTGTCTGGTCCTTTCTGGCTTTTCGAGAGAATACATGCTTGAACCTCGGCCAAGGGACATCAAGAGACCAATTGTCCAGGTAAGTCCAGATGAAACATCAGCGCATGTGGCGGCACAATGGCTTGCGTTCTGGAAGTCCGCACCAGAGGCACCATCACTGATCACGAGTGACGAGCCTGTCCAGGCAACCACTTCTCCGCCGCGTACTTCAGGATGCAGTCCGCGGGCACAAGCTATGAAGGCAATCTTCAGAAACTTCCAATGCAACCACCACGGTCCAACACATGGAAAATGTGACTCTGGACCATGGGATGCATGTGGGCTTGCATGGAGTCCCACAGATGCTGCGTGATGAACTTCCACCTGTCACAAGTTGCAACAGCAGAGCAAGTCAAGGCAAACATGAGCGTACGTACCCGACGCACCCCGAATTACATTGCGCAAGGCCTCAGCCTCAGCTTTGCATATGTTGTGAAGCCCAACCCTTTAGATCAATTCAGGCCGTGTTCAGCCTGATTTTATGCTAATCCTTGCCTGCAAGGGGGCTCGCTTGCGAATCGGGGCTCGGGGCTCCTCCTGGGCTCAATTAAAGCAGGCTCCATTTTAAACAGCTTGCCTAAGTGTGAGTAGACGCGAGTCCTGCGCAACAAACGTATTTAGGGGACTCAGCCGTTCATTCTTGTAGGAGTCCAAAGGCCCGGCCACAAAGCTGTTTCTAAACACGTGTCTCACCACAAGTTTGACCTGCACGCATCAACATCTCTCTAGCCGACCCTAGCCTCGTCTCAGACCGTCCCCTTTCCACCAGAGCAGAGAAAATGGCAAAGAAGCATGCGAGTTCACCGCGTAGTCGCAAGCACATCCTGGGCTAACGTGCGGGGGCCGAGGTCATCAAATGACACAATGTGAACTCCCAAAATGAACTGTGGCACTGTACTTGAAAAAAGCTTTCAGCCGGCGAGCTCGAGCACACCGACATGATCTTGACAGTTGTGCTTGATCAGGAGCAAGCACCAACGGTGCAGCACGTCAAGGTTCCGTGAACTGTTGAATCCGTAGGCATTGCCGATGTGGACCACGCTCTCACGATACAAGCATGTGCTGTCTTGAATGAGATCCAAAAAGAACAGCTGCTGCAGCACCGTCCACTTGACCTGACAGTCAAGCAAGGCAAGCAAACAGTACTGCAAAACATGGCAAAACAGCAACAATAGCATACATGCATGCTGGTACCGTACATAGCATATCAGCGAAACGTTCATAAATTGACCTTCTGTGGTAAATACTGCTTTTTCAAAACATCTCAAAGTGCTGTTGCGGCAGGCTCAGCACATGACATGCCTTTTTGCAGTTAGTCAGGATGGGTGAGCCCTCCCAAGTCCCGTGCACCGCACCTTGACGTGAACAGCAGTCCGAATGATCAGTTTGTTCAGCTTGCTCTCGTCGCCCCCGACAACTTCTACTGGAATGATATTCCTCAGCTACCAAGCGCTCAAGTCCTGACACAGGTGCTTGCTCAAGATTCAAGTGCTGCGAGGGCCCGAGAGCCCAAGACCATTACGGCCTGCTTGCTGACAGGCTTGCAGGCAGGCTTGCAGGCAGGCTTGCCAAGTCTGACTTGGTCCAAGAATCTGCCAAGCTCTGGCAACCTGTTGAAGCGATCACCATCAGGCTTTGCAGCAGGCGCTTGCGCTACACTGCTTCTCCTCGTGCCTTCTCAACCTCGCAAACTTCGGCCAGGCCTCGCTTGCTTAAGTGACCCGGAAGTCTTCTGTCTGGTCCACACGAGTCACACGAGGCTTCGACTGTGCATCGCATTCAGCTGTATCTGAAGTTGCTTCGCACACCAGTCATCCTGAGTTCAGCAAGAACGGACGCATTGCATTGCCAAAGCCGCTGCGCAATGAAACTTTTGAGCTTTGACTGAGATTTATGCTGATGGCCACTCTCCATACCCGTGCAATCCTGACCAGTCGACTCCGGATGCCTATGGACGCCTCTCGAGTCCAGATGCACTCAATGGCTAAGCACGCCTGGAATCGTCCGCAGAAGAGCCAGCACAACCTTCGCCACTGAGAATTGCAGTGCCAAGAGTTTACGATGTAAGCAGGATGGAGTCGGATGGAGTCGGGGCCTCCTCAGAAGCTGGGGACTCCCGAAACTTCCGCCTTAGCTGACCTGGGCCGAGCTTCTGCAGTGATGCTTGGCGAATGCCATGCCACCTAAACCCGTGGAGCTTGCCACCCGTGCCCGAAAAACACGGTGGAACATACTGCAAGGGCTTAGCAAGGGATCAACAAGCTGGGTAACGATCCTGCAGTAGCGGTGGCAGGTATGACCGGCATCAGTATGCCAAACAGTGCTGGCCAGCATGGCACAACACCTGTCCATCAGCATCATCAGCTACATCCCTCAAATTCCCTCAAGCTATCGCTCAGCCAACGAGGCTTTGTGGGCGAACCCAAGTCAACTCACTCACACCAAGTCATCGCCTTCAAGTCTACTTCTGGACATGTAATTTCGATGTCACAGATAGAACAAATCCTGTACAAAAAGGCAAAATTCAGGTAAGGGATCCTGCTTGGACTGTCTTAGCTTGCCAGCTTCGGCATCCTTCAGGCATGTCGAATAGCGAGTCTCAAGTTCAAGCTTAAGGCGGGTGATGCCCGTCTAGAGGAAATTGAGAAGCCGACGCAGAAGCGAATAAGCTTCATCAGCAGTGATTGACCTGAAGGCAAATCAACTTTTGTCAGCACAACGGTGCCTGTTTTTAAATACCCGGACATCTAAACAGTCAAACAGGTATTTCATACTACCTCCGTGGAGCGCGGCGTCAGGCCGCCCAGCGTTTTAAACATCCGGAAATAGACCCTCCAGCAAGCCTTCCCGCGCCAAGCCCCCCTCCAGCCAACCTCACAACCAACCACCCAAACCCCCTCCAGCCAACACCCTCAAACCGCCCTCTCTCCAGCCCCCACCCTAACCACCCCTCCAGCCAACCCCTCCAGCCAACCCCTCCAGCCAAACCCCACATCCTCCAGCCAACACCCCCCCCCCCCAGCCCCCCCAAAACACCCGCCTAGCCAAGCCCCCCTCCACAGCCAGCCAAAGCCCCCTCCAGCCAACACCCCCCCCTCCAGCCAGCCAACCTCCACCCAGCACCCCTCCAACCCCAGCCGGTTTCCACCAGCCAAACCCCCTCCAGCCAACACCCCCTCCCCCCCCAAGCCCCCCCCCCCAAAACGCCTAGCCAAGCCCCCTCCCCATCCAGCCAAAGCCCCCTCGGGTGGGTTGCTGGAGGGGGGGTTGGCTGGAGGGGGGAGGGGTGGAGATGGGTTGGAGGGGCTGGAAGGGGGCGGTTTGTTTGGGAGGGGTTGGGGGGGTCCTGGGTGGTTGGCGGGCTTGGCTGGAGGGGGGGGGGGTTTGCAAGGGTGGAGAGGGGTGGGGGTTGGCTGGAAAGGGGGCGGTTGGCTGGAGGGGCTTGGAGGTGGTGGGGTTGGCTGGAGGGGGCTTGGCTGAAGGGGCTGGAGAGGGGGTTTGTGGAGCCTGGAGGTGGAGGAAGGGTTGGGTTTGGCTGGAGGGGGGGCTGGAGGGGGGCTTGGCTGGAGGGGGCTAGTGCATAAACACGAAAACATGCGGATTTAAACTGGTCTTTTATACTACCCCCCTGGCCGTTGCTGGTTGGCCGCCCTCCACTTATTTAAAAAACGTCACCGAAGCGTGACTCGGCATGATATCTGGCTGTCGAGGGCGCCACTGTCCCAGCCAGAAATACATGACGAGGTCACCGCCGACCAACTCCTTGTTTAACACCAACACCAACATCTAGCAACTGATAGCACTGGTGGCACTGCTGAGTAGAATCTGACCCTGTTGAGCCTTCAGTTCCCCGAGGCGCTTCATCCACCCATGGATGGTGCATCTGGGCCTGGCCAGAGACCAGGAGCCGTGGTCGGCAAGTCGCCGTGAAACATTTGCATCAGCGAACCTCTTGTCTGCGCTGTGTGCTGGGAGTTGCTGACGAGCTCTGCAGAATGCCCTGGCCGCAAAACAAAGCCGAAAGTGAAGAACGCTGGTGCTCCTTCAAAACGTTAATTAAATGCTCTAAAACAAGCTCCGCTCCTCCAGGCAAGACCTGATAGAGAGAGAGAGAGAGAGAGAGCTGTAGCAAGCTTCTTCTGGACAAGTTGCCGCGGATATGAGGCACGGACTGACCTGAAGCATGCTGGCTGCGTGCCCATAAACCTGCGGAGTCTTGGGGTCTTAGGCTCTCTTTCAGTTGAAGCAGTTACAAGTGCGGCAAGATAACTGGGTAGCTGCAGTCTAAACCATGGAATTGCAGGAGCCTGCTGCCTCAGGCAGTGCAGCCTCGGGCGACTGAAGAGCTATAAGCAAGCAACAAAAACTCTGAAGGCCTGAAGGGATCCTTTCTTGCCAAGTAGCGCATACTGTTCCAATCCACTGCAAAGCCATCGATCTGCCCACGACTGAGCACCTCAACGACACTCCGCCGAATGAAGCACACAAAAACCCTTCCCAGCCCCAACAATCCAAGCTGAGGGCAATCCGATATGCCCAGCCACGCCTTTCAAGTGACACATGCCCTGCACCGATGTTCCCGGATGGAGATCGTCCTACATCCTACAGGCCTGCACCAGGCACGGCTCCACAGCATTCAGCATTGCCTGCACGAAGTGACGTCAAATGGCCATTGGCTCCACTTTGCTTCCCCCGACTCTGCCTTGCCAGCCGAAAGCAAAGAGTCAGGCAAAATCAGAAGCCTGGCTTCGGAGCAGCATAGCTCTTAATGCTCTTATCCCTTAGAGAAACATCCACGAAATTGTGCAAGGTCAAACTGTGCAGGCTAGGACCGAAGAACTCCTCGACCTGTTTGTCGATGTTCGGCAGTGTCATGTTGGAAACACAACGCTTTCCGGATTCCTCCTTGAGGGCAAAGACGTGCAGGAACGAGCACGACCTGGCGTGGCACAAGCCGAACCCACTGCACAAGACCCTTGGGTGCATGGACTTGGCTAGGTGCCAAAGGATTTTTGCGTCTGCAGAAACTGTTCGAAAACAAGCTGCCTGCAGGGGACAGCGCGCCGATTCCGAGTCCTCGCCCGTGTGACACACGGATAATGTGCGTAATGAGCATGATGAGCATGCCTAGGGCCTAGTCCAAAGCAAGTGTGTGTGATCCCTCTGACTGCAAGACTTTTAGAGGTGCCTCTGACCAACCAAGCACTCTATGGAATCTTCAGAAAACTGGGCTGATCATCCCAGCATGCCTGCCGACACATCTAGTACCGTGATGATGCAACAACTGTGCAACCCAGTATATCCAGACTATGCCGCAGCAATTGGGCTGTGACAGTGTAGGTGTTGCATGTTGCACGTTGTATGGGAAATAAGTTAGATTTTAACAATTCAACGTCATTTCACATCGTCTCTGTCTTTGCACTTCGCGTAGGATGAGAATTGAATTGGGCTGTTCGGGACTGTTACGTTTGGGTCGGGTTAGAAATTTACCATGGACAAAAGGTTCGCAAAAACTTAGCCATCAGTACAAGATAAGGTGCATCGAAATCGACTTTAGTTCGCACTCGCGTCGGAAGTAGATTAACAAGCACAGTGTGCTACTGGGTTTTAATCCATCGCCTGAGTCAATAGCCGTGCGTCGTGGGCAACTTACTTCCTGGGCCTTCGTGATCTCAGTGTCGCAACTACGTACTTCTACGTACCGATTGCTTGCCGCACCATCCATTGCTGCAAACACTCCTCACGACCGGCTTTGACTGGACTCAGTGTGTGCGAACCCTCCTTCAAGAGATTTTTTCGATGCAGGCGGCCCGTCGAGCTCTGCTCAACGAAGATTTCTATGGCAGCCTTACAGTGGGCCTGATCACCCTAAAGCATCTAGTATCATGAGCGAAGTTGCACCTTGTTTCGACGAACTCACCCGAGTGTGTGTGTGCGCGTGCGCGTGCGCGTGTGCGTGTGCGCGTGCGCGTGTGCGTGTGCGCGTGTGTGTGTGTGTGTGTGTGTGTGTGTGTGTGTGTGTGTGTGTGTGTGTGTGTGTGTGTGTGTGTGTGTGTGTGTGTGTGTCTGTGTGTGTGTGTGTGTCTGTGTGTGTGTGTGTGTGTGTGTGTGTGTGTGTGTGTGTGGTGGGTGTGTGTGTGTGTGTGTGTGTGTGTGTGTGTGTGTGTGTGTGTGTGGTGTGTGTGTGTGTGTGTGTGTGTGTGTGTGTGTGTGTGTGTGTGTGTGTGTGTGTGTGTGTGCGTGTGCGTGTGCGTGTGCGTGTGCGTGTGCGCGCACGGCACACCAGATTTCAGAGTTCAAAATGAGAAGCCCCGAAGCCCCAGGCTGCTGTGCAAGGGACCGCATCACACGTGAGGGCTTCCAGGGCGGCGTGGAAGGGCTCCAAGGCGTCTTCCTCGGAATGTTCCCGTCGTCTGAATTGTCGCTCGTGTTCGTCTCATCACTGTCGTCTCCCTTCTCCGACTCCCTCATAGTCTGGAGGAATGGGCGCCGTCACGCTCTGCTTTGCTGTATGTTCTCGTCTCTCTCTCTCTCTCTCTCTCTCTCTCTCTCTTTCTGCTTCCACCGTCACAGCCTGATGTGCGCAGGAAGCTCAGGTGCCGACCATGTCCTGCTCAATGGGCATATGTGACTCTTACGCATGTTGCAGACACGTTGCAGAAGGGAAAAATCTTCAGGCCCATGGCCTGCTTTGCTTTCGGAAGGTCTGCCGGAGGCCTTCAGCATGTGTCACCCCTAGCCACCCGCAGTCACCCCTGATCCAGCCAGTACTTGTAATGCGACATGGACCTTGTAGGAACACATCGATAACCATCAAGTTTCTGAGAACATGACTCCGCCTAAGGGCATACTGGTTGTTACAATCTTCGGGTATCTTCGGGCACTTCCGTCCTCGTTCATGCCTGACCTTCCAAGACAAGAAAAAGTCGCCGATTATGCTGCTGGAAAATCGGTCTACAGATATGCAGCATTTTGCAGCATTGCAACGACGCCATGAGCTAACCCATGTACTCATTAAGAAAACACGACTTAAATTCAAACATATTCAAAAAAAGTAGTGTGTCCATTTACACCTCCCCACCCTCACATCTTTAACACTTGCTCTTGTAAATGTGAGCCGTTGGACAGTCCTCGGCAGCAACAACCAGTTGCTGGGGTCAACACAATCCAAGGAACGTGGCGAATTTTCCTGGCCACGACAAACAAGGTGCATTGCCAATCTGCGTTCAACCCAGGTTGCCTGCAACTTGGCCGAAACTTCCCGCAAGGAAGGTGAGTGCTCGTGCCGGCATTGGCCTCACAGTCTGCTTGTGGCAAGATGTGGCAAGTTTGGACCAACCACCTGATGCAACCCGCCGGTCCCTCAACATCCTCAGAGTACGGCCAGTCGAAAGCAAAATTGAACTCTCGGTGGCCATTATCGGTGCAAGTTGGCTCCTACCAGGGTCCGATTCGAGTTCCTCTGTTTGGCACTGCACGTCTGCTGATTCACAATGGCTCCTGAAGCTTTCCTCCTGCTGCAATAGCCACCATGTGATCCGGTACCTTGGAAGGCTTGTGGCCGCCGCAGGACGCTTAAGCCTTAAGCGGGTCAATCGCGCCGCATGATCTGGGGGGCGGGCCCACATACGCAGCGAGTAGCTGGTGCGAATCGCTTGTTCATCCATGCCTGCACTAGCTTCCCTCTTCGTGAAATTTTCGTGTCAGTTCGAAACGGAGGACGTAGAAACAGGAGGCACCGAGGTACGGCTTTGAAATCCAAGCCGAATCTAACAAATCTGCAAAGTAAATTTTTCAAATTTAACGCTGCAAATCCAAAGCCAACACTCTTCCTTTCAAGCACGATGGTTTGCGAGTCATGGTTGATAGTCTGCAACTCAACTTCGAAATCAACACTGCCTCTGCGCCATTAGACTCATTAGGTGCTTCGGGGCAATGAGGGGATGGGACCGAAATCCTGGCCAGAATACATCGGATGGGTTGACTAAGACATTACCGTATCAAACTGCTGAAGTCATAGTGCATACCGGGGAGGGGGGCGGGGGCGTAATCCGTCTTTGATTGTGTGTATATATATATATACGAAAAGATACAGAATATTTTGCCTTGAAGCTTTCGGGGTCCCGGACCTACAGTCGCACATAGTATTGCTGCGACTTATAGAATTATTGAACATAGAATTCGCATATGACACCTTTCTTCGCCAGGGCAACAGCTTGAAGAATCGCCCGCCAAACGGCAAGAGGCGACAGATGAACAAGCCTTTCACGAAAACTGTCCACGTCATCACTAACAGTGCTCGACGTATTTCCATGAATGCAGATGTGATGTTGACCTGACAGAAGGGCCAGCCCGCCGTAGATGCTGTGCCGCTGGTTTCGGAGGTGGTTCCAACCCTCCACGCACACAACGAAGCGAGGCAAGTTGCCCGGCATGAGTTCCACCACCGCGGAACCTGGGTGCCAGGGAGTGGGGTCTGACCATAAATCTCCGGGGTTACGAGCTCCTGCAAACAACTGCCACCATGCTATCTGAAGCAGCGTTGACAGTGTCACATGACCTGGCACACCTCCAGACTTCTCGTCCTCAAATTTCGTGTCATTTGTGCGATGCTTTGCTTGTTGTGCGCTCTGTACCTTTCGAGTCTACTTTGTACTTTAAACCTTTCACATTCAGTTTCTCTAGCTCTTCGGCTAAAGGACCAGGCTCCATGGCCACCATCCACGCCAGGCCAGCACCATGCGCTCCAACCAGAACGCTGGTCTTAGCGCTGCGAGCTACAGCTACCCTCAACATCAAAATACATCGCAGGCTTGTGCCAGAAATCCTCCATGGAACTTTTTTGATGCCGTGCTTGGAAACCCAGAAACCCTCTGCCTGCACTCCGATTCCCCAAGTCAAAAACCCTGGAAGGTCGAAGGTCAGAGCGGGAACAGCTGGCGCTGAGTGTGCTTTTTGTTTGCTTCTTTATGTCTTGCTTCTTTATGTGGCGGTCTTTAGAAGCATCGTCTCGGCGCCAAGTTCTGAACTTACATTGTAACTGCAGTTCGAGATGCCTGCGACACCATGGAGAACTGCTCCAAAAGAGAAGATGATTCCAATTGCTGAATGTCCGTCACGAAGTCAGGGTTTCGCCGCAGGATGCTTTGCATTTTGGCCAAGTTTGTGATGGAGCGCGCTTGTCCTGGCTCTCGCTGTATCATCAACACGCGCGGCAAAAATCCATTCAATCCTTTCTCAAGTTCAGATGGCCCCCTTTGCATGTTGGCAGCTGCATGAAAGCTATTGCGGAAAGCTTCCAGATCTTGATGCCTGATCTGCGTGGTAACCATATCATATCGGAAGGAGCGAAATCCAACAGTGGCTGCTGTGAAACACGACATATTCACCTCGTGCGCTACAAAGCGTATGGGATGGTGGGACAAAAGCCGCAGGATGGCATCATGAAAGGACAGAAACCTTTCCGTGTCCGTGCTGAAGGGCCGGTCGACGTCCCACCGTTGTCCATTTCGAAGTTTGCTGTCAAAAACAATGCCTACGTGTGTATGGGACGGGTCCCAACCGTGCTCCTGCTTGAGTGCCAGTGTAGGTACCCACCAGTGTAGTGCATGCCAAAGGTTCGGGTAAGGCGTGCCAACTGGAAACACATAAAGCGAACCAGGAAGCAGCTCGCGGCTTTGACCACGCCGCTCCTCGGCCGAGCCCAGGGTTGAAATCCACGGCGTGGTATCAAAGGCTCCGAACTCCGAGCAGAGCGCAGCAGAAGCACCTTCGAAATCTTCCGGGAGGACATGGAGTTGGCCGCGACCGAGACACGCTCTGGAGAGCACCCTGGGACCCTTGCAATGCCTTCCGGTCCAGGGCAGCAGCCTCGCACTCCTCGCACTCCCCGCACTCCTCGCACTGGGGCCACTGGGGCTTTGTCTCCAGCCAAGCATTCTGACGGCTTCTGCTGGCGTCAAGAAGGCATCATCCTGCATCTTCGCCCCTGCCAGCCCCGCAAGGCGGGCTACATTGTAGACCACATCTTCCGCCGAGATGTCCCAAAACTTCTGATCCAGGCAGTCGGTCCAGGGCGCTGCAACAACTAAAGCAAACGAGAGAAAATATAGTTCAGCAGCTCTGGCCCACTGTCGCTGAAGCAAGCAAGCTTGCGCAATGGCCATGTTAGTGGCCACATCACCGGCCACACAGTTTGTCTTTGAGAGTGTCAGCTCGAAGTTTGAAAAAGCTACTAGCATCTCCTCGGAATCGACACAAGACTGCATCACGGAAAAGTGATGTGCTTGCTGGTTTGGATCAACAAGGGACTCCACAAAATGTGGGTGATGCAACCAAAGCCGTTTCACGTTGTCGCGCGAAGCAAGGAGCACATCATAACCTTGCCCTGCACAGGAACAGATCTCGAATTGCCCGCTTCGGGCAAGCTTGATGGAATCGCGCAGCCGCTTCCACGTTCGAGCTTCTTGCTTCAAGAGCCACTTAGCTGAAGGAGTCGCAACTTTTGCAGGTGGAAAGCCCCAGGATACAGACCGAGTATCGAGCAAAGTAAGACGTGCAGAATAATAGGCAAGCAGTTGGGCGATCGCTGGCAGGAGCTGGCCGGCCAAGCCAGTGAAGTTCCTGAACGGCTTCCGCAACTGCTTCAAATAATGTATGGCACGTTGGTGCAAAACCTTTCCCTTCCGATGTGGCACGCGCCCCCCACGGCTTTTCGTCCATGTTCTGAACACGGAGCAGGCGCTGGCACCGCAAACATGATCCAGGTTGGAAATGCCGCCTGAACTCGACAACCAGGACAGGTGAAACTGAGCCAGTTCGTCCCGGATTTCAGATATTGGGACCAGGCAGCATCTCTCAAAAGTAAAAAGCTCATCAAAGCAAGGACGGTGCTGTGCAAAGCAACACGTCGAAAACGAATAGCCATCAGACCAGCAGCCAGCATCTCGCCGCATGGAAGTGGCTCGACCAGCTCAGAACAAAGATGCCGAATCTTAAGGTGCAGTGTGGACCATTACAGAAGCTGCGCGCAGGCTACCAGAGCTCGTCTTCAAGCTATCAACGGGAACGTGTCGACTGTCTGCTAGGTAGCACGTATTCTGGAATGGCAGCAAGGCTTGCTCATTCTTCCGAGGCCGAGGCAAGGGAATAGCGCGCTCGCCCAGCCCGGCTGGTCCTGCAATAGCCACAGGAAAGATGTGGGAAGTCGTGACTCATGGAAATATTGGGCTGCCCAATTGCTCTTTGGCTGCAACTTGCATTTTGGACCGAGCATGAACATCACCCTCGCCCCATACCATCCTCCTCCTCCCACTCCTGCCACTCCTCCTCCTCCTCCTCCTCCTCCTCCTCCTCCTCCTCCTCCTCCTCCTCCTCCTCCTCAGCATCATCACCGTCATGGTCGTGATCAGCATGACCATCATGAATCATGATGGTTCATGATCCGTCAATCAATCAACCAACCATTCAATCAATCAAATCAAAATCAAATCAAATCAAATCAAATCAAATCAAATCAAGTCAAATCAAATCAAATCAAATCAAATCAAATCAGTCAATCATCGTCATCATCCCGTCATCATCTAGGTCCTGTAAATCCCGAAGAAAAACATCCCGAAAGCCAAAACCTTGAAATCGCAAAGCCCGAGCCTCGACCTTCGCCCAAAGACCCAACCCAACCTTCCAACCTCACCCAGCCTATCCTAATCCAACCCCCCGAAACCCGAATCCCAATTAGTCAACCCGCAACCCAACTACCATTACTCAACCATTGGCCCTGACCCCAAAACCTAACCCAACCAAACCTATCCCAGCCTATCCAAACTCCGGAAACCTGTACCCCAAACATCCTAACCCGAGCCACATCTGAAGATCCAACCTAACCCAATTCAACCCAACTCAACCCAACCCAGCCCCCGAAACTCCGTGACCCAATTCTTCCCGAAAGCCTGAAACATCAAATCCCCAGCCATAACCTGTGTCGTAACCTGACTGAACCCAACCCCCGAACCCCCAAGCCAGCTACCCTTAACCCTAAGCCTAAACCCTAACACGTGAATCAGGTAAATGTTTTGCCAATCGGTCTTCAAGCGTCATCATCCTCAGCAGCCTTTGGCTCATCATCATTGGCTGGCGGTCCCAAAGGTCACATGCACAAAAGATTTGCGTCACTTTTTGGAAGAATCCTGCGTGATAACCAGCTCAGTCTCACCCTCGTCGTCGTCCATCCACATCCTTCAGGTGTGTGCCAGTGTGATTTGCAAGGATTGCAACTACGCATACTCCAGTAGGTGCGTGGCACAGCAGGAGAGCCAGGGATAACTGTGTACTTGATCTGAAGTGCGGGCGCAAGCGGAAACCAAAGCAAGCAGCCCTACAGGCTCTAGAGGCTCTAAAGCCATCCCTTGCCTGCAGCTTTAACGAGAGAAGCTCCCCCGACTGCCAGGACTCCTCTGGCAGCATAACCTGGCATCACATAAGGCTACTCTCATGGCATGGCGAATTATGCGAATTTGTCTTGGCATGGGCCATCACCGACCTTCAGCATCTGCGCCCCGTCAAGCGCAGCAAAGCTCGGAGGAACGTGGTGGAAGTCCAGCCTGCCACTGCATCCGATGCTCTGTCGACGCCGCTCATTTTGAGCACAGTACAGTCGCCTTACCCCTGTGGATTCCACGTAGACTTCATGGATCTGTAGACACCTCGGGCGAAAACTTCCGAAACTTGGCGAACTTGTCGTTTGCACGACTCATGCGGTGGTCTTGTCGTCGCTTTGGGTCCAGGCCTGTGCGCATGGAAGCAGACCTCGGGCTCGTCCTGAGGTTGTTTTTCGCTGTCATCTCAGCAAGCGCAAGTACTGATAGGATGCGAACAAAATGCCCATGTCAAGCCTGCTGGGCAACAAGCTCCAGCATGCAGTGCGCACTCAAGCTGCGAGCCTGAAGATGCAGCGCAAAAGCTTCGAAGGGTTGGCTCACACACCAGCCTCGAAGTCAATCATGAAAGTCAGTGCCTCAGTGGTGCAACATGGTGCCTCGTACCTCTAACGCTTGTGTCGAAGTTTATGTTAACATTGAGGGCGAGGGGGAGCGGAGGGGAGGGGGAGAGGAGGGGAGAGGGGGGGGGTGGGGGGGGGGGAGGGGGGGGGGTGATGAGGGGAGGGGGGAGGGGGGGGGGGGGGGGGGGGAGGGGGGGAGGGGAAGGGGGGGGGGGGAGAGTGGGGGGGGGTGGGGGGGGGGTGGGGGGGGGGGAGAGGGGGGAGGGCAGGGTTTGATTTTTTTTTAATGCTTGTGACTTTGCTGAGGTGCTGAGGCGCAGGCTGACCGCTGAACCGTGGTGGACTTCGAGTGGGTCCAAACACCATGCTCGTCCTTGGCGACTGATACTGCACTGTGATTTCAGCTACATACCTCACCACACTGCTGCATGGATATTTTGCTGGGACTACGTATGCTTTGGAGAGGGTGGGTTCCAGCTCCAGCTGGAAAGGAACAGAAACAATTCAAAATTGGGCCTGGAGTGGCCACTCCAGCAGGAAACAGGCAATGGATTGCTGGAAAAATGCTTGTGGCCACGAAGAGATACTGTGTGGTGTCCTAGTTGCCTGCACAGCTTCATTTTTCAGACTTTTGGGCCAAGGCTGGCATTCCGCATGCTGGCTTGAAGGGCAGCAAAACCCATACGCCATACTGTACACATTGCAACACTTCCGCACCCAGCCCCCGACGAAACATGATGATCATCATTTTTCATGGAGAGGCTGATGCCAGTCACAATGCATGGGGGCACGTGGAACGGCCAGGGCAGGATCAGTTACGGGCAAATGTATAGCTACTGCTTGCGAGTCCAACCGGTGGTCACAACGGATAGTATCCGCCGCACACAAATGAAGCAAGTTGATGACTTGCGCCACTCCCTCTGCATATCTCCGGCCTATGACTGTAGTGCACAGGTCATCTGCGTGGCGACGGCTACCAGATTAACACGAGCATCCCCAGAGCATCCCCACCTTGTCCCGATTGCATTTTTTCCGTTGCCGTGCTTGCTTTTTCAAGCACTTTTCGGCACAGTGCCCACAGCCAATTGCACCGTTCCGGTACTGTCGCTGAGCCTCCCCGACCTGCTTCCGGCAAATTCCGGAACAGGTACCCGCCTGAGCCATTGGCCTGTTTGTCCTGAATGTACTGCCTGAAAGCTGTGCTGACTGCTGTAGCACATATAGCACATTGATGCACATTGCAGCATATGATGGGTGCCACCTTGTCCTTAAAATCTAACCCCATTTGTCGTTGGGACCCCATTGCACATCTGCGGCACTTCTGCAGCATTCAGAATTGCACCACGTCTTGCCCTGCTGGTCTGAATCATGCACGTGACGCGCTCGCTCGGTTTCTGGGCGCCTGGATGACATGTTTGCCGCACTGTTCGCAGTGCGCTTAGCCACGAAGACCATTCTGAGAAGCTGACGGCAAGAGCTGGTTGCCCTACTGATCCCTCCGAAACCGACATGATGCACCGACCATGTGGTTGTAAGACTCGCAAGCTGCAAAGAAGATGCCATGTCATCAGCTGGGAGAATCTCCAGAAGTGCTAGCTGTTTCACTCACCAAGTAGAAGTTGGTAGCATGGATTCCCTGTGCCGCATGTTCAGGATAGTCCGAGAAGTTACACTGGCAAGCACTGGATGCCCTTTGAGCCAAGCAAGGCTGCATTTCTTGTGTCCGGAGTCGCTGTGCCACCCTCCCCGTGCAGGAAAAGTTGAGACAAATATGAAGGCGAAGCACTGCCAAATCCATTCCATGCATCGCGTCTGAGCTGCTCTCTCTGCGAATTACTGTAACCACATACAAACAGGCAAACCGAAGTTGGAGCCAAGTACTCGATGATGCTCGACGACTGGTCGTCAGAAGTGTCGGGCTGAACCTCCACAGCTTCTGCTGGTCATTCGGCTGCAAGGGGCAGCATATCTCCCAGACATGAGGCAAGCATCAAGGAGTAATTCATGAATTACATGCGGGCCAGGGAGTTTCTCCTCACTGTCGCCGCTAGAACAAAAAACAATCGTGAAACAGTTCCTGCCTCCGAGTTGCAGGTGCAACTTGCGTGTTCATGCCGTCAAGACTTGGGAATCTGACTTACATTATGGATCATTATGGCACTGCGTGCGAATGGTCAGCGACACGTGAGCGATGCTTATGCGCCGGCTTGACTCTCCGGCAGCCCAATATGCATGCTAGGGTCATGCTGGGCACGAAGCCAACTGACCCAATCGTCCGACCTGAGCTGCCAGCCTGTGTGACGGCACCGCACCAAACACATGTCAAGTGTCCAGGTGCGCAGCACAGACATAGCTGGTTCTCTGGAGCTGCGGAATGTGCACCTGCCAGCATCTTTGCATCAAGCTGTGTGTCGCTTGCTGCTATCTGGGCGACGTGGAATGTTTTGTAGCATTTGCAATAGAAGTCAGTGTATTGGATATTGTCTTTGAAAGAAGGAGCACCCCTTGCTGTTGTTGCAGTTGCTGTAGTTGCGGTAGTTGTTGTAGCTTTTGTAATTGTTGTAGGTGTTGTAATTGTTGTAATTGTTGTAGTTGTTGTGGTTGTTGTTGTTGTGGTTGTTGTGGTTGTTGTGGTTGTTGTAGTTGTTGTAGTTGTTGTAGTTGTTGTAGTTGTTGTAGTTGTTGTAGTTGTTGTTGTTGTTGTTGTAGTTGTTGTAGTTGTTGTAGTTGTTGTAGTTGTTGTACAGTGGTTGCTATTGCTGCTGTTGCTGCTGCTTTTGCTGCTTTTGCCGTTGCTGCTTTTGCTGTTGTCGTTCTCTTGTTGTGTGGACTCTCCATGCCTACGAGCCCACTTCGGCCCTCGACTTTTTAAGCTTGATCATTTGGGAGCATTCAAATCCTTTTCAGACGTGCCTCCGTGTGTGTTGTGCCTCGTGTCGCGTCTCGTATCGCATCTCGTGTCGTGTCTCATGTCGTGTTTGACATCGGGTCTCGCGCCTTGTGTGTTGCGCATATCCTCTCAATCGGGGCTCCTATCAGGTTCCTGAAAGCAAAGGTAAGACATGTCGCCATACAACAGAAAGTTATTCAGTTATTCCAGGCGCTATGCAATGGACGTAATTTAGTATTGATGAGGTGGAAAGACGGTGAAAAAACAGAGATAGGCTGATAGTCTGATAGGCGGCAAACGCACGGTGGCGCGAAGCCAATTGTGGAGTGCGCTGTCATTCTGCTGTTAGAGGATGGCTTCATGGCAAACGCCGCAAGAAGTGGCACCTCCTGTCGTCCACCCAGATTTCAACCTCGCAAGGTCTTACAAGGCTGCCAGAGTCTACCATCTCGGGTTGCTTGGGGTTCCAGCCATCCAGTGATCATGGCTGGAGCTCCATTGACGCAGGATGCCGGATGTCGGAGTCTCAAAGACATCGAGAACTTCCACCTCAAAAACCGCACAATCCGCACCTGCAATTTGCGTGTGGTGACGGATAAATTGTTTCAGCCCTGCAGGGCGTGCCATCTTGTTGAGGGCATGATCCAGCATCCATGACCGAAGTTCCTGGCGCATTTCAAGTTTTTCAAGGGCTAGGTCAGAAGCTCTGCGGCAGGCATTGATCCTAGGTCTCAGGTACCACGGTGTCCTTGATCATTGGGGCAGCTTTTGCATATGAAATCTGCTGGCCTTGATCAGCCCAAGCAATCGGCACAGCAACAACATCTAACAACAATTATGTCTAACAATAGCACATGGCCATATGGGCCATATGCCATGACTTAAGACCATGGCCGCTGTTCCGCGTGCTGTTCTGCAGCTGCGAGGTTGTCGGGAGCTTCTTGTTGCTGTCCTGCATAGCTTGCATGGCTTGCGTGTAGGTGGCTTCTCTTGGTCCACGCCATGGACACCTTTACTGCCCTCCGTGAACTAAGGGGGCGGTCCAAGTAGTCGCACAAGGTGCAAAAGCGGCTCCGTACCTCCATGTGAGCCATCTGTGTCGCGTGAAAACTCTGCATGTCAGCACAGCATCTCACGCTTCATCACGGCAAGTGCGCCTCGCTGGTCGAAGCGTCTGGCCGATGCACGAGATGTATTCGCCCTGGCAAAGGAATACAAACTCGTCAGATCCATAGTGCCTCCTTGCCCCCCCCCCGCGCACCGAGGGAGTGTTCCTCTGCTGTTGGCAAAGCCTCCGCTCTTTCGGAGCAAAATGCAGAGAGCTCTTGAGGACTCTTGGACTCTTCTGCTTCAGCTCTCAGTGCAACTCGGAGCCTCTCCATCTGCAGGTGCTTGCCGTCTCCCTGGTCATGAGAACGAAGGCGGCCGAGATCAGTGGAGTACAGCATGGTGCAATGCAAGAAGTCATGAGCAAGGTCATGACAGAAACAGTAGCTCAAGAGGTCTGCTGAAGGCCCCGTCTCCAGGAGTCATTGTTTCGCAATAGCGCCCGGTCAATTTCATTCCGCCAGTGCCTCGGACGTTGCTACGCTTCCAAAGCACAAGGGCGGAGCTTCATGGATATGGCAGGCATGGCAGGCCCACCTTTCCTTGTAAGGCCGCTGCGCATCATCACATTCGAAGCCGAGCTTCACCTGCTTCGATGAGCCCCACGTGAGGGTCCCGAATTTAGAAACCCGATGCTGAGGACACGGCGATGGTGTCGTTGCTTTGCATCATTTGCCCGACTGCTTCCTCAGTCGGCCTCTCTGATAGCTCACATCTAAGCAACTTGCGGTTTCAGGGATATTGTACAGCATAGACATAAACCTCTATGCCTTGATGCAACATGTAAAAGCACACATCTCTGCGATGCTAGGGCGGGGTACGTGTTGGTTTGCACCTTTTTGTTCTTTACGTTACCATCGAAGGCCCGGAGTTCATTGACCTCTTCCCTGTCGCCACGGACGTAAGGGAGCACTTTGGCAACCCTCGAGAGGCTGACGGACATCAGAGTCAAGCCACACAGGGCCACATAGCCCTGAGCCTCCCCAAGCTCTTTGGAAGCACAACGCCCTGCCACAAATAGCACCCCATGTGCATGAGCTGGCGGCTGCACTGCCTGATACTGAAAGAAGGTGGCCTCAACCCGGTTTGCTTCACATGTGCACCTCGCCTGTGCTTGTTGTGTACTCCCCCTCAGGAAGGTCACACAAAATTTCTTCGTCCCTGCGGCCCTTGATTATGTTCGCAGGAACGTTTTCGGTTTTCTAGAAACTTCGGGGGTCTTGAGAACTGCATTGTCGAGCCGAGGGCTTACTTACAGGACTTGCACTCTCCTTTCACACTCGTTTGCCAAACTCTGGCAGCGCAACTCGCACCCGGCCGGCAAGGATCTCGGTTCGCAACTGTTCGAACCAATAAGCATCAAGAAACACAAGCCCAAAGCCAGACACTACTTGTTACCAGCTACTGCCAGCAGTACCAGTGCCTCAGCTCTTCAGCTATGAGCGCCCTGCTGCATCTCATCTTGCCGTGGGTTCGTTCCATTCCACTGACGCAACGCATGTCCCATCCCATTTTGCTGTCGCGCTGGGGCCTCCCCCAACACGTCTAGCCAGCATCGCAGTTTCGCGACAATACAATTTCCCAACTCAATCCATTTCTTATCCCAGCGCTGCATGCACTCGACTCCGACTCGTGAAGCCAAGTCGGGGCAGCGAACGTCATGACATGCTGCAAGTAGTTTTTCAAACCTGACATAGTCCTTACCCGTGGACAAGAGTGAAATGGTGACAGGGACTGGGAGCGTTAGGATTCTTGTGACGATCCAGGAATCGCATGCGGGCACGTCAAAGTGTCGCTCTTGGCACCTGGGTCATGTCGTCGGATATGCACATGTACCTTTACCTACATTTCGGTGCCCAGGATGTTGGAGACTTTGTTTCCAGGATTTTGGGCATGGCGCCCCAAACTCCCAAAGGTTGCTCCTGCCTAGGCTTGCAGATGTATGGAGCAGTTTTCGAGCCACTTATATAACTGTTCCCTTATAATAGGGTTCCATCCAATATCTTCTTCCAGGTCTTTGTGCTCATCGACTGTAAGCGCACTCACCTTCGCGGCCTAAGGGGAACAAACTGGGCGCCATACTTTTGCTGTTCAATAAACATCACCGCAGTTTACAAAGAGCCACAATGGACAAGCCCATGCGGCAGGCAATTGACCTGTAGAGCATGAGTTAAATGCAGTTTCATGCAACCCGATATGTTGTCTTGCATTGCCCGGCTCTATCTATCTAGCTGACAGACATGCGCAAGAAGTGCACAAACATCGTGCCTTCCGAAGAACTGTCCCATCTGCTTCTGGTGCGAGAAACGTAGGCACTCAATCTTGCTATTGAGACTCTCCTCGTCATCGTGCACGAAAGACGAGCCGAAAGACAACGCTTGCAACATCTTGCAGCTTCGGACAGCCTTGACTGCCACAGCCAGCTCTCGCACTGCATTGGAGTCCAGCCAGTTGCTCCTGGCGTGCACAAAAAAAGGAGTTCCCACATCGTTGCAATTTAAAAGCTGGTGCCGGCGCACTCCAGGTTCAGAGTTCTGAGCGAAGAGTTGGAGCGTAAAGCGCCGGCGAGCTGAACTCCTGATGCCTGCATCCAGGAAAGCGCTAGGAAAGCCACTTTCTGGAATCATCTGCCTTCACTCACCGGATCACTGGAGATGGCCCGATGCTCCCGGTACAATGCAAAGAAGAACGTGACTGCAAATGGCACTTGGCCACATCGCGGCATCTTCCGGGAGCTGTGTTGCGAAACCAATTGGGATCCAATTGGGAGGCCCACCTCTCCTGCCTAGCTGGACATACCATGCTGCGCGTGAAGGGCACGTGCAACAAAACACTTTTTTTGTGAGGTCATTTAGGCTGCAAGCTCTTGAATCCAATCCCCACCCAATGCGCGCGTCCTCCCTGCAGCCCGAGAAAAACTTTCGCAGCTAGCTAGTCCATCGGCTCCAGCAGCAGCTAGACATGATGCAGTGCAGGTGCACGTTGATCGATTTGAATTTTAGTGTTTTGATTTGTTTTTGCTGCGACTGTTTCGCCCGCATGCGCTTTACATTCTGGAAATACCACGACACAACCTTACTGCGAAGCAAAACGAACGCTTTGCAGAGACTGCAAGCACGGGAACATGAAAGTTAGTGTTTAGGCCGAAGTTTCCATCGCATGTCACAATGTCTGAGCACGAGTCGTATGCGTTTGCCATCAGAGAGCTAGCCTGTGGACACTACTTTCGAGTCCGGCGCAGCCGGCCAGGAAGGTTCGACTGGGTGCGGCAGCGGAGGCTGAGGTGTTGCCACTGTGTTCCACTGTGTTGTCACCATCGCGTGAGTTCTTGGACTCTGGGTGTTTTGGTCGCACCAACATAGCGTTGCTCTTCCAATTCTGCTGCTACCTATAAACCAAGATGAACTAAGTCGTTCTTCCCCCTATTTGTAGAACTATCCAGGACACCTTCACAAGGTTGGAGTTGGAAAGCGTGAGCTTCTCCAGGTGGGTGTTCCTGTGCAGGAAACAAGAATGCACGCAGCTTTGTGGGACGCGCACTGCGTATACATGCCCTTGAGTGCATTTCTTCTGCCTTGCCATCGCGTCCATCAGCTTGGGAGCAATTCGTCGCTCGACGTGCGGTGGTGGCATATGCCTCTATCCACCGCTTTCAAGCATTCCACCCCAAGCGACCTTTTCTGATTCCCGCTCTCGGCTTCAAGTTAATTCTGGTCAGCTGCATGTTGCTGAAGTTGAGCTCCGTCAGCGAAGGATCGTCCAACCAAGCTCGATGGACCTTTGCGCATGGGGGCCCATCGTGTGGTAGACTTGCATGAACTGTCAGGTGTTCTTTAGTCAGACACCATCCAAATCATCCAGTCGCCATAGGCCCTGCGAGAACAGATTGCATTCTCGCTCTCTAGCCAATCCAAAACAGTCGCCTGCCTAGTTCTGCACGGCTCTGGTAACATGTCCCCAATCTCACAGACCTGCGGGATTTGCATCGAGTTGCCATGCAATGCAACACACAAGCCTTTGGGATCAAATCGTCATGCACTTAGAGCCAGGCACACTCCACACGGGTTGCGAAGTCCTGAGAGAATTCAGTCTTTGCCGGGGGTAATGAAGGGAAGGCAATTAGGCCTCGTTGATGGACATTGATACCTCCTCGCATTGACTGTCATCCTGCGCATCATCCACCTACCAGCTGCCAGAGAAGAGCTGGGCATAAGGCTGGGGAGAGTTGTGACACACGCAGGCCAAGACCGCCTTGAGCACAAGTTCTGCCACAGTGGCCTTACACAATAGTGCGTCTTGCTTGGTCATCATACATGTTGGGAGTTTCGCACACATGAGCATGTATCTCCGACAGCAGCCCGAAAGATTCATGGGCATACATGAGCGCTCATGTGCACGCGTTGCACGCATGCATGCGTAGATACATGTATGCAGACACATGCGTCAACACTGAGACAGAAGCGTTTCTGTGTCTCCACCAAAAAAGGTACTATGCGACATACTGACATAGCTGTACATACCTTAATTCCCCTTATTAGCTTACCTGAGTCACCGTCACAGTCCCCAACTCATCGCTGCCATCGACTTCGGATGCAAACGACTGTCAAGTATCGGTTGGGGGATCGGCCGGCATGTATCATGGCAGCCCAGGGGTTTTAACTTGACGCGAGGCAGGCTACATGTTTCCGGGAACCGGCCATTGCGCACTATCTTCTCGCTAAAACCACTGAAAAGACCTTCGGTGCCTCCTGTGACCTTCATGAAGGAAATGGTGCAAGCAAGAACAGTGTAATTTATGGAAGAGGTCTTCGCTTCATGCCTCCGAGCCTCGCCACATCTCGGTGGCCGATGGCCCATGTACACAGAAAGGTCTTTACCATACTTCTTACGTAAGAAGTGTTTTGTCACTAACAAACGCTTGATGTGATCCGGCTTGCATCATGTTGTTTTCATGGAATCGTGATTCTTGGGCGCCGCTAATCATGACAAGACAACTGTTACGAATCGATAAAGCGACGCCGACACACCCGATAAAACAAAGTGGGGGCGCCGGGCAAGGGGGGGTGTGGGGCGAGGGAACTGGCTTTTGGTGTTGGTTTCATGTTTGGCACCAAGCAAAGAACAAGTGCAAACTATGAAAATTAAAGAGAACATGCACGTGTGGTTGGCTCATGTGGCACCGACCCCTGTCAGTGTCAGCACTTTGACACGCAACGACAGATGTGGGGGATGCCCGACCTTTCATACTGTTGGCACTAACTGAAACTGTCGACACGAAACGATGCTCAACATATGCCCCAACATGGGCTTCCAGAACTGCAGCGGCCGTGCGACACTGACCCTCGACTTGTCCTGAAACAAGAAAGAAGCCTTCGGGTGGAGGTCAAACCACGGAGGAAATACGTTTTCATGCGCTCACTTTCGAGTATGCCAAAGTATTAAAGCCGTTTCGGAACCTCGAAAAGCCAAAACGTCTGCAGCTGCAAGACACTGAGGGAGGGTCCTTGATGGAGTATCTCCTGTCCTCAGCAGCTAGCACCTTGGTAGCAATATTCTGACCAACTCTTGCAACCTGTCAGATCCGTACAATCTTGCTAAGGCTGCAGCGGGAGTACCGCTGATGACACCCGTTCCTGGATGTAGGTGGAGGCCTCTGGGTTCCATCGAGTGACGTGTTCATTTCGCCTCTGATGACCGGGCGCGTGGCCTTGAGGAAGATCAGGCTGCACTTCCAGCTTGGCGCTTCCTCCGCATCCAGCGCAGGCATTTGTGTTTGGACCACGTTGACCACCCCTTTGGCCTGGCAGCATCTGGAGATGAGGCCTGAAATTAACCTGCAAAATGGAGGGCGCATGTCGCATGCAAATCTCTACTCTACAAATGCCACGAGATGCCACGAGGGAGCCTGATTGCCAACCTGTGTCTGGACGGCCCTGCAGAAAAACGAAGAGCAGCACAAAAACAGGCAGCAAACACACGCTTCTGGATACCTCGGGAGTTTGAACTCAGTAGGACTGCTGAGACGGCTTTAATCTGAATTCTCAGCGTGGTGCGGTGTCGATGTGGCATCAACCCGGCATGCCTCTTCACACTTTTCAAGGTAGAGCCACACAACAATCACACGAAGAGCCATGCATGGCCCTGCCTTGCTGGGGTTCTGCAAATCGTGGAACATGAGCAGCGTATCCACAAGTCCAAGCTCGGGATGTTGGAAAGCCCTGCCACATCCCCACTACATGGTACCAGTTAGCCAGCACTGACCAGCAGCAAGCGCTCCATGGTATTGACACTACCCACGCAATTGCACGCTGAGTATCGGCTGGCAAACGAGGGCCGAGGTCACAAGGGTAAGAATCAAAGAAAGAACAAAGAGTGCCGGCTGGCAGTGTCCACAGGGCCACACACAGCAATTCCCGGCCTTTCAATTCACCCCCCCGACTCCTCCGACATCTTGAGTAATGAATTGCTGCTTTGTTCCGTATAATTTAGACTGACGTAACCTAGCTTGCCGAAGCGTTCGCAACATCTTGCTGGCTGCAAGCGCGCCTCGGAAGAGCGCAAAGAACTTGAAATCCACAGGCGGCACATACTCTGCGCGCAGAGCTGTTGCTAGAAACCACCTTGATGGGAACGCTTCCAGGGAAGCTGCGGTGGTGCGGTTTAAATGCTATGGCAGCAAGTTAAAACATGTCAAAACTCAAAGCCAAGGTCTTACAGCTGAGAAAGCCACCATGTTGATTCGCATCCCTTTGTATCCTGTCACAAAAGCAGCTGAATTCTCTTCGTGACAAGGTCAGCTGGCCTAATTATTGTCCATCATGAGCTACTCCTTTTCGACGCCATTCTCATTCGGTGCCCAATGCAGTACAGCAAGTTGCGCTTTGTGCACGCGAGCGTTTGGCACTTTTTTTCCCACCATCCCGTACTGACATGATTTAACATGTACACTTAACTCACTTTGGCCAACACGCGGTCTAGGTTTCGCCTCAAACTGTATCTGGACCTATCCCAAGCAGAAATGATTCCCAAACGCCACTTGGCCCCGGGGAACTTTTGGCTTTCCGAAGTCTCCAGCGCTGATGGCCCCCAGCCCGATGTTGACAGCCGCTTACTGTGAAGGAGGTACAAATGACTTACGGGCTCCAAAAGACGGACAGCTGATGAGTCCCGGCTCTCCCTTTGCTGGATACAACTGAGCCACTTATGACACAAAACCCTTGCCTTGATTCTGTACTGTAGTGTGCGCGTGTTGTCTATATATATATACATATATTGAGCCAGACACCGAATCTTGCTATCTGAACGAGTTCATGTTCCTAAGAGTTTTTGGAGAGCAATGCTGTACAATCTTGTGTCCAATCTCGGCCTTGCTGCTGCGCTCGGGCCACTGAATGGGAGCCTCATCGACAGCAGTGGAAGTGCAATGACGGGCGACGCCTAGAGCAACGAATTGCCAAATCCGCGAGATGGCCGGTATCTTCTGTGCACGTGTCCCTTTTTTGGTCCCGCGTCTTGTGCACGTCTTGCTTGCCATCTGTCAGGCGGCGCTGATTCCGCTAAATGACCAAGTGTACAGAGCCATCCACGCCGAGGCTGCTCGAGGCTGCGACCTTTATGATGCTACTGCACGACTAATATCTTGCTGTGTTGTCCACAGCGCGTGGTGCGAAAATGTCACACATGGTCTCGAGATGTATCGAAATGTACTGGGATGCATTGAGGGACGGACAGGTGGCAAACGAGCTGCCACACATTTCGCTGCAACCAAGCAATCGTCACACTCCTTGGCAGTTCGAATTCATGACCATGGCAGCCGCCTCCGTCAATACAGGGCTGATTCAACAGTTATACTGATGGAGCCTCTACAGCCACCTGATACTTCTTGCCACGAGCGTCGGTCTCGGCTTGGTATTCGCCACGTGTTGGCGGGGGTGGATTTTCCTGACAGAACTTCTGGCGTTTCTGATGTTCATGCCGTTGGCAAGAACAACTTTCAAAAAGTCCTTGTTGAAGGTCTCATAGAAGCCCGCAAAAAGGTCGAACATCTGAGACTGATTTTTGACAAAGAAGGAGCACGAGACAACCTCCTGACTTGCTCAAGGGATGTCAACATGTCAAGGTCCAGAAGTGACTGGAGCTGGAAGGCTCAAACTTGAAAAGCACAAGTACCCTAAGCAAGCAATTGCAGATAATTGCAGCAATTGCATCGCCATGCACAAGCGCTCCTTCAGGCCGACGTCTGCAGCTTTCAGGACATTCTGCAGTCCAACAAAGGCGTCAGAGCCTCCAAGCAATTGTGTGCGAACTGCTGCGATCAAGCCACATTTTGCGTCAAGATCGCCCACTTGCCTGAAGAATTGCGGCCAAGTTGGGCCGACGCAAACACAAATCCTAGGGAGTTTCAGGGGCTGCACTCAGATAGGACAAAAAGCGCGGTTCGCGTGATTTCGCGTGCATTTGAATGGAAGGCGAGGGAAGGCGATCACTGCGCCACCACTCAGTCACCACACGGAACGAGGAGTCGGATCGATGAGGCCCGTGTGCACACGCGCGAACACAACTACTGAAAAAAGAAGGCGAAGGCAAATCGGCAACTTCGAAATGACATGCCAACTGCTCAACGGAGGAATGACACAGCAGTTCCGTTTACGAACTTGCAGTCTGCACAACTAACAGAACAAGCCGCCTGTACGGGGGGCACAATACCATTGCCGAACGCGCAAGGCTCCCGCGGAGGAGAGGCTCTTGCTTTTGTAATCAAGCTGGTGTCTAGCCACTGTTTCACGAAGTTGCTAGCTCGGTTTCTCCATGGTCACGGAATCCGCAAGCGGGCTGCTGCTGCCTGCCTGCCCACTGCATGGTCCCTTGCAAGTTCTCCCCGATGTCCTGGTCACCAAGGCGGCGGCACCGCAGATGGGTCACAGCTCCTTCGGTGTCTGCTGGTCCGCGTGTGGCTGCATGTCGACGTCGCCGAAGGACCATACTCGTCTCGTGGCATGCTGGGCATTGACGTCTGGCCCTTGCTCCGGTGCCACGCTGGCTGAATCAAACGGGCCGCTAGATACATACCCTCGGTCAAGGAGTCAAGGCCCAAAGATGCGACCGCGTACCGAAAAAACTGTACACGAATGGGGTGCTGGGGCGCACGGAACCTTACGAGGCCCAGCAAGGCATCACGCAGAGTGGACAAACTGGTCGAGAAACCATAATCTGATTCCAAGCGGTGCAACAAACCATTGAATTTGTATTTGTGTACAGATGACAGATGCTGAGCGTGATGAATTTCAGACTCTCAGACGTCACATCTCGCAAACACACAGACAGCCACCCACTATACAGAGTGACCTTGAAACGCACAACGTCCAAAAGCCCCAGCCTATCTGTCTACAGAGATACGCATGCCTTTATGCAGTGCTGGAGGGTGAAATTACTGCCGCAAACACGCGAACAGAGCATTTTGGGAAACGGAACCTTCTTCCAATTCCGATCTCCCTGATGTGGTGGAAGCTGGAAGGCAATACTATAGGCAGCACTAGTGAGCACATTCGTCGTGATTTAGGTTTTGAAGGCTTGCTTGGTACCGGTTGTTCGTGGCTGCGCACACGATCTTCCTTGGGCCTTTTTAGCTTGTATTAGTCTTTCTGAGTCCCCTCTCCGACCATTTCTTCGAGGCGTGCACCCCAGCCAGATTGTTCGCGACGTTTTTGGGGGCATGTTTGAGGAATTCCTTCCAGCTCGGCAAGTGGCTTTGAGTGGCT